GTATACCCATCCAACTTAGCAACTCCAGGATGCCATTCAACTCTCCTCTCCAATATCCCCCGGACGTGCAAATAGTCAAAAACATGCCGATCCTCAAAAGAGATATTTTCAACCTCCTCGGTATGATTTGCATCTCCACTCTGTAATACATCCTCACATATTTCACTTCCAAAATCCCCCCCTTCCAGAGTCGGATTGTATCGTCACAGCTCGAACACTAAAACTCCCGCCACTCCCGGGGAACCCAACAGTGGACCAGCGTCGTACCCAGATCGGGGCGTTCTTGGGTGTGATTTAAGTGCAAGAGAGGAACAGAGAAAGCAGAGTAGCGCTAGCATAGTAATCCCATGTACAATCTAATAAATTGAGGTACACCCCTAAAGACCGCCTTCCCGGCCTCTTGAATTTATTCCTTATCTACCGCTTCTCCATATTATACTCGAATATGATTTCAAAAACCTTCCCAATAGCGCGTGCGTATGAGCTTAAAGGTTCCAAGAGTTGAAAACGCGTGGTAGCAAAGGTCGTGATTGTGCAATAACTACCCAAATTCAGCGCATTGCTGATGTCGTCATAACAAACCGGTGAGCTCTATGTATGTTATCACCGATAAAGGCTCCGGGGAACAACAGGTTCTTGAGCAATTTTGCAGACTGTGACCATATCAAACTTTCAATTGTGGCACTCGTACTTCCTAACTTGGAAATGAAAGTTATTTATAGAAGTATGCACGATCGACACGTATATGTAAGTAGATAAATAGAAGCCCTCGCAAGTGCATATGTATGTATATGGTATTACGGTTGGCCCACAGGGTCAGGGCCAAATTTTGACCTGCAGAAGCGTTGGTAGACAAGCGGATCAGTGACTGGGGGAATGGTAACCATAGCCGTGACGAGTAATCACTGCTCTGAACTTGCACCATGCGGTTCTTTCCCCAATACATATATTTTTCTTTTGTTTTTAGCCAGAATACATCACATTACATAACGAAGTATTCTAAATTTCCTTATATTGTGGCTTACTCGTGTATACTACGGGCCAGACTTAGCTTCAACAATTGCCCATAAACTCAGATGGAATCATGTGTCTATTTGACCTACAAGCGCACACGTAAGTCTTGAAAACACCGTCAATCTAGCAAATGACTCACAAATCAATACACAATTAGGAACACCTCGAAACCTTCCTACTACTGGGATCAAGGCTCATAGAATACGAATACTACACTTCCCAACTTGGAAATATACGGTTCAATAGCTTATATTAATCACTATCTGTGACTTGTAACTCGGACTAAGAACCCCAATCAACTTGTTGCAACCAGGCTTTGACGGGTGGAGAGACGGATTGTCCCTTCGTATGCCATTTCAGTAAGTGTTTCAATTGTGCATAGAAGCATGAAAACGTACGACGATATAGCACACTCCCACTGTCTGACAGGCCGACGATCTGGTCCGGAGGCCTGCGGCACGGCCCAGCTTGTGAGGACATTCATTGTGGAAATTCCTTTGAGTGTTTTGTACATAATGTAGAAGCATGAAAACCTACGAAAACTCACCATAGAAACAATATGACACACACCTGCTGTCTGACCAGACAGAATGTTCAATTTTTCATTTATCTACTGCCTATTTACTGGCTATTATTTTTGAAAGGTATTGGACTGGAACAACCCTTGGAACTTCCATTTCTTCTGAGGACCGGTGGTCCGGTGGGTTGTTGGGAGATCGACCGTAAACGCGGGTTCCGGGGGTAAGGAGCGTTTTCGGAGGCCTCTGCGCGGCAAGCTCCACACCACGCTCCACACCACAATACATTCTTTCATTCACCTTAAGTGAGATCGGAGGCCTCTGCATGGCAAGCTCCACACCACAATACATTCTTTCATTCACCTTAAGTGAGATCGACGGCCGTTCTCGGCCCAGTGCCATTGTTTGGCTGATGCTGGGTCAAGAGCAGTAGGGGCCTGATGGTCTCATTTGATTTTTGTCTGCAACGGCCTTGCATGTTTCATCAGTACAACGGTCTTGCTTTCATACCACCACCACCCGTCGTTCAGGTGAGCGCCCCGTCGCTCTATCACAGTACCTCACCAGTCTCTCCTTTTCGCAGAGTAGTGATTATTTTTTTACTCAAGCATCACTACCTTCGGAAGTATGATTCCCTCATTCAATAAGTTGAACTTATTGAAGTCACTGCAGACTCATAACGAACTCGCTATCCAAGGTGGATTATACCTAACGAGGTTCGTTTTCACCGTAAGCCGAACGCAGTACGTTCGCGAGTACCAGCCAGCTTACTAGTCAATTTCGATATTAGGACTCAATTCGTTTCAGTCGTACAGTCCTCTTCTCGTACCCTCCCACCTCACCCTTGTTACTACCTTTGACTAGGATACAGTAAATAGCCCTATCACGTCGCCTCATCAAAATGAAAAAGAGGTCGCCTACGGCGGCCGATACGCGCTCAACTCGATGTCCTGTTCTTCCGTAAACTTCGACCGTTCAGAGCGATGAGCTGCGGAGGCAGCCGTTCAACCTAAAATTGACACAACCGTACACGTACGTATATACGTAACAGACAGAAGCTTTATGTCAGTAAACTCAGCATCTATATATAGATATTCAAACTCCGCGAGCAGATATCGAATGAATGACTGAATGAATGTATGAATTTGGCTTATAGTTGTATTGTAGTGTCTGGTATTGGAATTTTCCTCGCAGAGTGAGCGTGGCTTTTATGGTAGGCGAGGGTTACGTCGCGAAGTTGTAAGGGAAGCAGATATCGATGACTATGGAATAACTTCAATCTACATGCTTCCGCATAATTCGAAACACCAGCACACGGGAGGAAAAGAACTAAAAAAATAAAAAGATACAGAATACAATCCACCGACATATAGACCATGCTCTTACTGCACCTGCATATCATTTATACTACATTACACAAAAGAAAAAAGAGATTATTAAACTAAACTGAACTTGAACGAAAAAGATAAACAAGAAAAAAAGAAAAGAACTAGAGCAACATCCATGCAGACCGACCAAACACCTCACGGGCTCTTCATAACCTGATCACCCCCCTCCCCCTTGACTCTCTTCCTAACACGACCCCTCACACTCCCCGCACTGCTCCTCCTCACCCTCCCCCCAACTCCCTTATCCCCCTCCGACCCACGCTCCTGCTCCTCCTGCCCATGATCCCACTCACAATCATAATCCTCCTCTCCCTCCCCCTCACGCTCATCACTACTCCACCCACCCCCATCCTCATCACCCCCCTCATCACCCGTATCCCACATCCCACTCCCCAAACTACTCGTTCGTCTCCTCGGCCTTGGCTGCGCGGGCGTGCGCACCCCCACATCCTCCACATCCTCCGCACCCGCACCCACACCCACATCCGCATCCGCATCAACATCAACCTCCGCATCAACATCAACATCAACAGAACAAACACTCCCCGCATCAGACGTAGACCCGACACTCCTCCCAGGCCGGATCGTAGGCTCGTCGTCCGTCGTCGACGTGTCTGCCTCTGTATCCTCCGTCTCTGTTTCCGTTTCTGTTTCTGGGTCGGGTTCAGGATCCGCAGAGTAAGAGGAAGAGGAAGAGGAAGGGGCAGAGGGAGTAGTTCGGGATCTGTAGCGCGAGGATGTAGATGAGGTGGATTGAAATGAGACGTGGTGGGGGTGTGGGTGTGGGTGGGTTGGTGGCTGGTTGTGATGATGGTTAGGGCCCGAAGGCGTATGTGATGAGCCGTTTACACCGTGGCGGTGGGGTGATAGAGGTGATGGTGAGGGTGAAGGGAGTGGTGGGGACGCAGAAGGGGATGGGGAGGTGGATGGTGATTGGGAGGTGGAGAAGAGGATGAGTTGCTCGGCGTAGCGCTGCATTTCTGCGGTGGAGATGACGAGGCGGAAGTCGTTGAGGAGGAGGAATTGGAGTTCGAGTTGGTTGAGCTCGGCGAGTGGGAGTCCGCCGACCTGTTAAAGAGATCAGCATTGACATTAGTGTTTTTTCTGGATAAAAAAAACGCAGACTATACTATACCTTTGCATAGCGGGAGTTTGTATAAAACACATCGCTGAAGAATTTACTGGCAACAGTGACACCAGCAATAACCAGACGATGTATATTATACGAATCGATAACGAAGCTTCGTCCCACCGCGTCGGCACTCAACTTGCTCATCCGATCAAAATACACCAACAGCGCAAGGAACACCTCGTTCGTCGTCGGACAATACTTCAAGATCCTCAACAGATACGCCTCAAGCGATATCGTAGGGACATTACGTGCATGAAAAGTGAGTGTCGCAGCCGGAGTGGTGAGTGCTACCCTCGACGCAGTTGTCAGGGTCGGCCAGAGGGCTGTGTGTGTATTAGGCGCGGGATCTTGATGATACAGCGCAGCGGTTGGCGAGGACGGGGGCGATGGGAGGGGCGAGAGCGAGTCGTTCGTGGCTGCGATCTGGGTGAGGAGAGATGCGAGGAGCCGCAGGAGGTCTGGAGAGTGATAGGAATGGATGTCGACGGCGGGTGGGGGCGATGAGGGCGAGGCCACTGCTGGGGACGGCGAGGGCGGGGGCGGCGTTGGTGGACGTGTGCGTATGTGGACGTGGACTGGCGGGCGCGAGGGTGCGGACGACGAGGACGACGACGAGGACGACGTGGTGGGGGTCCGTGCGGGGGGTCTGCGGTACGAGGAGGACGTCGAGGTCGACGACGACGACGATGACGACGACGATGAGGACGGGAGGAGACGGGGCCGGGGATTGAAGGCCTGGGCAACGGCCAGCATCGTCGCAAAAAGAAATCGCTTTCGAAGCAGATGATGCCTCTTTTCTCCGTTTGTCACTGTTTACCCGCATAAACGCTCTTCGCACGTGGCCGAAGCACGTTCGTCTGCTTCCGTCTTTACCCAGAGTACCTGGTAATCATCCAATGAACGTGCTAGTTCTCCTGATAGCCTACCACAATCGTGTTCTTCCAACATTCTTTGCTAGTATATCGGTTAGTACACGCGCCTGTCATGGTTTCATCCGCGCGAAAGCTGGGTTCGACTCCCAGGCAAAGAGATGCTGACCCTTTGGTGACTTTTTTTCCCCTTCTTTGTAAGTTTCTCTTGTATGTCGAGCACTTGTACTTGTTTACCCCTTGCACAACACCCAATCTTTGCTAGTGTACCAGTCAGACTCTGTTCATGTGCCAGTCATATTGCTACTGCAAATTTGACAGTGGATATACATGAAAGTGGGATTTAACTCCCAAACAAAGAATTGGCCTTGAGATGTATATATGATATAGTAACTTGTCCTTTTGTTTCTCAACAATCCCACTCCCTTCTTCTTTGAACACCTAAATCTGTACATACTACAGTTGTGGACAACCAAACACAACAACTTTGGTAGTGATCAAACAAGCCAGAACTCAGGGCATAGAAAGACATCAAAAAACACACCTCCAGAATTTTTCCTATGACATTTCTTGGTCAAATTCTCAAGCTAAAGTATACAGAATATATTGTCTGATTTATGGATACAAGATGCATCATTGCACTTTGGAACATAGTTCTATGCACTTTCTGCTTCTAAGCAGCCCACACCACTGCCCCTGTCAGCCCAACCTGATATGCAATTGCCAAAAATGGTTCATGAAGCATTGAATGACATCAACTGGACAAGCATCAAGTGCATTGAATGCTGCTTTCTTTGCATCTTCAAATTGGTTTTGGAAATTGATGATAGCAATACTTTACTCATTCCCAGTACTGTAAACTGATTAGGTTATAAACATAAAGGAAGACTGACTATTTCAATAGAATTCAACTCACAATGAGAATTTGGTAGGAATAGACATTCATGTCCAGCCTCCTTGATCACAGTCTCCAAGATTGAGATTTAATTTGCAAAGCTGTCTTGTTTGCTGAGAAGGTGAGCAATGCAGCAATTGGTGTTCTCAAAAGGGCAGACAAGTGAACACTTTGTTTCATTCCAGTCACATTGAACCCACATTCTTTGAGAATATGCTGTCTAGTTTGGGTCTGCCAGAGGCATTTCTGAAGCCTGAGTGACTGCTTCATCAATTGTGGTATAAAGCCTTAGGCTGATTCCATAGACCTGTACTGTTCCTCCTTTGTTTCTTTTAGGAGGCCTCATAACAACTATGTACAAAGGTAGGAGCACAACAAGAACTTTTGATTTGCAATTATACTCTGCTAGATTTCCATTTATAGCAAAAAAAAATAATTTTGTTATGTCTGATTTGCACATAGAAAGTCCTTAATATATACACAACAAGGTTCAGCCCATCAAATGGAGTTGATTGTGCTATTTTCCATGATTTTTTTCTGAGTTTTTTTGAGTAGCCAAAAATTCAGAGTCAAATTTTCCGACCCAGACAATACTGAGAAATTGGCTCATGTATATAACCAGTTGGGTCCTAAGCTTGTGCTGCAGTTACAGTGGTGAGAGTGCCACAATCACTTCTCCTGCCTCATTACTTAGATATCACATGATACATAGGTTATTTTCTCTGTCCTGGTTTCTGTGGTTTCTTATTGTGAATCTACAGACACCCAGATTTTCTTGCCAAGTCACCATGCTGGCTATTTCAGACTCACATATTCCTTCAGACTCAGTCTGTCACTCCTGCACAAAACTTGCTGCAACAGGTCATAGGCCCCATGCCCCAGACTTACATACCAAAGATAATCCTGCTCCTTGCTCTGTTATTAACATAGAAGCAAAATCACTGCAATCAAAGTTAATACTCAAAGGTCTTGGCATTCACATTTATCATGGATGATGTCACAGTTGCCTCATGCTCAGCATAATCAAATATACTGAATGAGAAAAGTGTATGTATAGGCATCTAATTTTAGTAGGCAGCATGCAAATATAGTTTGCTTTGCATAAATGTGCATGAAACTGAGTCTTATTGGCTTTTATCTAGCCTAACCTCAACCACACCACTCCTATGCATGTCAATCTTTGAATGGTTATGGGCGCTGTTGCCTGACACCAATCAAGATCAGACAAACTCACAGGAAGCATACACCTTCCATTTCCAGCTGCAAAACTTAGCCCTCAATTTTCTTGAGATCACCCAGATCACTTCTGGACCCACTCAGTACCTCAAACACCCACACTTTGCATCATGGCATGTTATCTTCAGAAGCTGCTACCTGTCCAGTCCTCACTGGATCTGACAACTTCCAGATATGGAAGATGAGAGTCACAGTGAAGCTCCAGCATGAGAAGGTATGGGACACCATTCTAACAATGCCCTTGGCATTGGCCTCATCTCCAGGCACACCAGTCATATATCCAGACACATTGACTCATCCCCACACTGACAGCTAGTTAGTCCATGACTCTAAAGCTGCTGGCATAATCATTGCATACCTTTCTGATAGATTTGCAATCAAGATTGGGGACTTACCACACACAACAAACATGTTTGACAGACTCATAAAGATAGATGCAGAAACAAATATCATCATCAGTGCCTTCTACACCTTCATCTACATGTTCACCCTTAAATGGGATGGATCCCCCTCCACACTCAGCAACCACATCTCTGTGATATCAGCTGCCAATGCAAAGCTCACTGCCATGAAGAAGCAAGTCAATCCTGAACTCCTTGCATTCATCTTTCTTCACTCCCTTCCCAATGAAACTATGTGGTGAGTTCCTTCCATGCCACTGTCTTGAACTCCTTAGCTCCTGGGAAAGCACTATCCTTCTCCAAACTTTTCTGATTGCCTGACCTTCACAACAACTGTGCAGCAAGGGATTTCCTCTGATGCTGTGCTCAAGGCTGATGTGAATGTGAAGCAGAAGCCCAAAACAAAATCAAAATTATAGTGTGACTTCCACAAGTCCACCACTCACAATACTTCTGACTATCAGATGCTGAAGGAACAGAAGGATGGAAAGAAGAAAGGGAAGAAGAAAGGGAAGAAAAAGGCAAAGGCAAAGGCAAACCATGCTAGTTACAACTCAGACTCAGATGGGTAGAGATAGCACAGATAACAATACAGGTGGTGGGACAGTAGGATACTCAAATACCATGTCTGCTCATGTTTTTAAGGCATTGATGTCATGCATTTTAGCTTACATTAGAAGTGCCTCAAGGGACCTAACTCACTCAAACACAATAGCTGACTCTGGTGCCTCAGCTCACATGACACTACATTATGAATAGTTCAAGTGTGGCACTTTCAAAGAACTGAACCCATCATGCAAAATTCACTTTGGCAACAATTCTTATGTTGAAGCCACAGCCATTGGTACTGTCACCATCAAATGCAAAGTTGATGGCTCCACCAAGATCACAGAACTTGAGAACACCCTCTACATCCCATCCTTTCAGCTCAACCTAGTATCAATATGACATCTCAACAAAGCAGGCTACTACACTGTGTTCAAAAATGGAGCATGCAAAGTCAAGACCTCAAAAGGGCAAAAAGTGGTGTTTGCCAGATCACACAAGGGAGACTTGTATCATCTAAATGCCTCACTAATGCTGCATGCTCTGACCTCCATTGACATAAACACCCTTCACTGCCACCTTGCCCACATGTCACCAAACTAGCTGATACAAATAGTCAATGAGGGATACATTGAAAGCATTGACAAAACAACAGGAAAGCCAAAATTCTGTGAGCCTTGCATATTAGCAAAGTCAAAGAAGCTTCCCTTTAAACACAAAGAACAAAAGGCAACTCACCCATTCCAATTCATACACTCAGACATCAGTGGACCTGTCAAAACAGCAGACCATCATGAAAACAAATACTGGATCTCATTTATCAATGGGTACAGATGTTTCCCCTGGATGTACTTCATGTATAAGAAGAGCAAACCTTACTATGCTTTCATGAATTCAAGAATGACATTCAAACACACCTTGGAGCCAAAATTAACAAACTTCATCTGTCCAAGAACTCCATCAGTCCAAGAACTTCATCAATTTCTTCCAATCTGACAATGGAGGAGAGCATGTTGGGAAGTTGTTCAAGGAGGAACTTGGGAAAACAGGCACTGTGCACCTCACAATGGCACCAGACACTCCTGAACAAAACAGGTTAGCAGAACACATAAATCAGACACTCATAAACACTGCCACAGCCATGTTAAGTGAGTCTGGTCTTCTAAAGTCATTCTGGTCAGATGCCATGCTCACTGCCACCACAGTTATTGGAAGGAATCCAGTTGCTGGGTTGCAAGGGAGTACCATGCACAGTAATCTTTAATTGAAAGGTTGATATCTCTTAGTTTATCTGTTCAATTCTGTGGCCTATAGGGAAATTTGGAGACAAGGCTTGCAAAGCTGTACTAATTGGCTACACAACCAGGAAAAAGGCATATAAACTCCTAAATGTCAAAACAAGAAAGGAATTCAGCAGCCATCATGTTCAATTTGACAAAAGCCATGACTCACCCTCAAAAACCATCAACCTCAAGGACAAAAACATGCTGGCTTCAGAGCACAAGTGGGAGCCAAACTTCCTGCAGCCAGCTTCAAATAAAACACCCATGAAACACACTGGCAAGGGTTACAGATCTGACAACAAATCAGTCAACAGTGACAATATGAGACCAGCAGGAGCAGACCCACCTGAAGCCAAGAGCAAGTACCACACCCTAGACTGCTCACCACCTACATCACCTTCTCCACCACAAAAACCAATGCCAGCAACCCCCTCTCCAACAGGAACACTGCCTTTCACATTGCCTGCTACCACAGATGAAAAATAGAAGCATTCTCCCAACCAAAGTCCACAGATCCTAAGTTCAGTTAGTGGAGACTGAAAAGCAGGTCTGGTTGTCAGAAACTACTAACAGTTCACAGTTGGAGGAAACTCACTGCACACTATTAGACATACAAGTGTGCACTGACAATCCTGAGCTGAGTAACTTAAGTGACTTGGTGGAGTCAGAGTATGAAGAAGAGGTTACAGAGCAGACTGTCCAGTTACCCACTTCCTCAGAATGCAAAGGAGGCCTTTGAAGGTCCAGATGGCAAGCATTGGAGACCAGCATTACAAGAAGAGCTCCAAAACCTAATGGAC